ACTCTGGGATGTCTTGCCACACCCATACGTCTCCAGGCCCTCGTGCACACTCAGCGCTGCACCTACCCCTGCAAACAAGCTCACAGCTCCTAACCTCCCTTGGGCCTAAACACTAGCCAGATGTGAACCGCCTCAGGGATGTTCCACAGGAACCCTGGGGTCGGTGTGCCCCAAACCCTGGACTTGGCGCGTCATGCGTCCTGCAGTGTTGGTCTCACCTACTGGCCTCTGGCACATCCCAAACTCTGGCCTCCCCACTCCCTTCTCCCTCCCCTACCACTACAGCTGCTACCCTTCCCACACCTGCTGAGAGGCCCCAGCCAGAGTGAGCAGAGCCTGCTCAATGGAACCCCCGTCCCCCTGGGACCTTCAAGGTCAGGCCCCACTCTTGCACATGCTCTGTGAGACCTTCAGGACCTGCCCCTCCCTCTCATTCAAGTTCAAATACCTTTGCGTGTTTCTTAGCCAAGAACACACCCCCCAGTCCAGACAACCTGCTTCTCCTTCAGGGCTCAGCACAAACACCACCTCCTCTGGGACATTTCCCCAAATCCCAGGCCGCACGTCATGGGGAGGATTGCGTTCCGAGGCACCCTGGGCAACCGGGCTCACGGCCTGCACCCTCTGGGATTCAGTCCACACTTACATGTCCGGCTCTCCCATTAGACTACAAATTCTGTGAAAACAGGAATGGCGTTCTGGCATTGCCACGCCCCCCTCCCACCCAACTGCTAACTGCCTGGCACGCCCAAGCTCAGGAATTCTTGCTGAATGAAAGAGAGGAAGAATGAATGAACGAGTCGCTTCTCTGGGGCCAGAAATACAGTATCAGGAGCTGTCCATCCAACTCTGCAGCAGAAACACCTGGAGCTTTTAAATCCACGGCTATCCAGGCCACACCCCAGACCTACTGCCTCAGAACTTCTGGGGTGAGACGATCCCAGATTGAACCTGAACAGATCCCCAGCTCCGGTCCTAGGGAAAAGAAAGGCCCCAAGAGAGACAGTGCCTGGAGGAAGAGCAGGCTTCCCCTACACACCCCTGCACCTGCAAAGCGGCAGTGCATGCCTTCAGCA